TAAAAACAGACATACAGATCAATAGAACAGAATAGAGAGTCCAGAAATAAACCCATGCTTTTATGGTCAATTAATATTTGACAAAGGAGGTGAAATATACAATGAAGGAAAGACAGTCTATTCAATAAATGGTGTTGGGATAACTGGACAAATACATGCCAAAAAAAAGGAAACTAGACTACCTTCTTACACCATACATAAGAATAAACTCAAAATGGATTAAAGACTTAAATGCTAGACTCAAAACAATAAAAATCCTAGAAGAAAACATAGGCAGGAAAATCTCAGACATCTCTTATAACAATATTTTCTCTGATATATCACTTCTGGCAAGGGAAACAAAAGAAAAAAAACAAATGGGACAACATCAAATTTAAAAGTTTTTGCACAGCAAAGGAAACCATCAACAAAATAAAAAGACAACCCACTGAATGGGAGACCATATTCTCCAATGATATACATCTGATAAGGGGTTAATATTCAAAATTTATAAAGAAGTTATAAAAGTCAACACCAAAAAACAATCCAATTAAAAAACTGGCCAAGGATCCTAGCCGGGTTGCTCAGTTGGTTGGAGCATCATCCCATAAACCAAAAGGTTGAGGGTTTGATTCCCAGTCAGGGCACATACCTAGGTTGCAGGTTCAATCCCCATTTGGGACACATAGGGGAGGCAACCAATTGATGTTTCTCTCTCACATACATGTTTCTTTCTTTCTCTTTCTCTTCTCTCTCTCTCTCTCTCTCTCTCTCTCTCTCTCTCTCTCTCTCTCTCTTTCTCTCTCTCTTCCCCCCCCCTCCTTCCTCTCCCTATCCCTTCCTCTCTCTCTAAAAATCATTAAACATATCTTCAGGTGAGGATTAAAAAAAACTGGGCAGGTGCAGCCACTATGGAAAACAATATGGTGTTACCTCAGAAAATTAAAAATTGAATTGCCATTTGATCCAGTGATCCCACTTATAGGAATATACCCTAAGAAGCCTGAAACACCCATCAGAAAGAATATATGTACCCCCATGTTCGTAGCAGCACTATTTACAATGGCTAAGATCTAGAAACAGTCCAAATGTCCATCAGTAGAAGAATGGATAAAAAAGCTGTGGTACATGCCCTGGCCGGTTTGGCTCAGCGGTTAGAGCACCTGCCTGTGGTCCTGAGAGACCCGGGTTCGGTTCCTGCTGAGGGCACATACCTCAGTTGCAGTTTGTCCCCAGCCCTGGTTGGGTCGTGCAGGTGGCAACCACTCGATGTGTGCCTTTCACATCGATGTTTCTCTCTCTCTCCCTCCCACTCTACCTGAACAAAATTGGGACAAATGCCCTCAGGTGAGGATAAAAAAGCTGTGGTACATATACACAATAAAGTACTATAAAGAAGTAAGAAGAAGAAAGAAAGAAAGATCTCTTATCCTTTGAGACGACATGGAAGGACCTGGAAAGTATTATCCTAAGCGAAACAAGCCAAACAGAGAAAGACAAGTATCATATGCTCTCACTTATTCATGGAATATAATGAACATAACAGTCTGAGGAATGGGGGAGTCCCAGAGACATGGAAGTGGGGTACAGACTGACAATCCCCAGAAGAGGGGGGGAGAGATAAACCACAGAACTTATATGCATGTATGCATGAACAATGGACATGGACAACAAAGCTGGAGACAGGGTGGGGAGGGAGGGAGAGGGGGAATCAGTGGGGGGGAAAGGAGAAACATCTGTAACAAAAATAAATTAATTAATAAAAAAGAAAACTGGGCAAAGGACCTGAATACACACTTCTCCAAAAAGGATATACACGTGGCCAATAGACATATGAAAAGATACTCAATGTTACTAATCATCAGAGAAATGCAAATTAAAACCACAATGAAATATCACTTCACACCTGTCAGAATGGCTATCATCAGTAAGTCAACAAACCAAGTGTTGATGAGGATGTGGAGAATAGGGAAGCCTAGTGCACTGTTGATAGGAATGCAAACCGGTACAGCACTGTGGAAAACAGTATGGAGGTTCTTTAAAAAATTAAAAATGGAACTGCCTTATGACCCAGCAATTCCACTTCTGGGAATATATCCAAAGAAGCCTGAAACACTAATTTGAAGGAATATATGACCCCTATGTTCATTGCAGCCTTATTTACAGTAGCCAAGACTTAGAAGCAGCCCAAGTGTCCATCAGTAGATGAGGGGATGGAATCCTATGCAGCTGTAAAAACAGGAGGAAATCCTACACTTTGCAACAGCCTGGATGGGCCTGGAGAACATTATGCTAAGTGAAATAAGCCAGTCAGAGAAAGACAAGTACCATGTGATTTTACTCACATGTGGGATTTAATGAGCAAAATAAACTAACAAACAAGCAAACAAAAAAGTTGATTTATTTTTGCCAGCTTACTGGTGGGTTCATTGGAGGCACTGATTCTTTAAGCACCTACCACTTGCATTTTCTTTGATGTCACTTTTCATATGTTTTTTTTACTTTTAATTTTGAAATTATTAGATTCACAGGAAGCTTCAAAGATGGTACAGGAATGCCCCATGTACCCTTCACCCACTTCCCTCTAATAACATCTTACATAATTATAGTACAATATCAAAATCAGGAATTTAACACATACAACACAGGGAATTTTAAAAGATCACTTCAAATCAGGCTTAGCCATATGAAATTGCCCAACATCAGGGATAAAAGCATCCTAAAAGCCCTGGCCAGTTTGGCTCAGTGGTTAGAGCATCGGCCTGTGGTCCAGAGAGACCCGGGTTCGGTTCCCACTAAGGGCACGTACCTCGGTTGCAGTTTGTCCCCGGCCCTGGTTGGGTTGTGCAGGAGGCAGCAACTCGATGTGTCCCTTTCATGTCATCGATGACTCTCTCTCTCTCTCCCTCCCTCCCCCCCTCCCACTCTATCTGAACAAAAAATGGAAAAATGTCCTCGGGTGAGGACAAAACAAAACAAAAAATCCTAAAAGTTTTCAGAGAGAAAAAAAGCTACATACAGAGGATCAAGAATCAGAGTGAAAGCAATGGAGTTATGCCTCTAAAATTCTGAGTGAAAGTGTTTTTATCTAGAATCATATGTCCAGCTATGAGTGAAGCATGTGAACAGAAGAGACATTTTCAGATGTGCCAGGTCTTAGGAGCTACTACCAGATGTCCTTCCCGCTGGGAACAGATAAGAGAAGAAGGCACAGGATCCAGGAGACAAGGGTTCCAGGAATGATGACAGTCCTGCAGCTTGAGCAGAAGGGAGCGCAACCAGGCTTCCAGGAAGAGCAGTAGGGAACCCGGAAAGGGATGTGCTACCTAAGAGGTTGGACCTGTGGAAAATGATGTTATGGGGTATTGTATGGGATGAGTGAAGAGTGTAGAAGGACTTGGCCAGAGACTTTTAAAAAATTAAATTAAATAGATGAAGAGAATATTAGTATTACCTTCACAGGGAAAAAGTTGGGTAAGAAAATGTAATTATGGTATTTATATTTGGCTTGGTAATAAACAGTAGTAATGTATTTTCAAAATCATGGAAACTCTGAATGTGCTTTTAACCATAAATGACAACATAGCTGTACTGGGGAAAAGGGGGAAGGAGAGAAGATGTAAGAGAGATAACATAATAATCTACCACAACAGGAAGTCAACAGACAATATCTAAAATTGTTGAATCAAGAAATAACAGACTCTGCCTATTTATTTAGAAATCTCGCAGTAAATGGCAGAAACAGCCAAAAAAAAGTTCAGAGTCCTCTCAGAAGAGCCAAACCTTGCTGTACGAAGGGGTAAGAGAGTTTGTTTTTTCATAAAAACTCCACTTTGTCTTAAGCTATATGCATAAAATAGATGGATAAAAATAAAAATGAATGTAATTTCATTTTGGATTCGAAGTACTATTATTTTTAAAAAGCAATATATAATAAAACATAGTGAAACACCGTTCTACCGTACATCCTTTATGGAGGAGGCCTTCTCTAAAGTTTATATAATTTGAAACATATTGAAAGAGATTGTACATTTTACTTTTGAAATGGGGAAAATTAAAATTCCCCATTTGTTTTTGTTTTTTTATCCTCACCCGAGGACATTTTTCCATTTTTTGTTCAGATAGAGCGGGAGGGAGAGAGAGGAAGAGAGAGAGAGAGAAACATCGATGTGAAGGGACACATCGAGTGGCTGCCACCCGCACGACCAACCAGGGCCGGGGACAAACTACAACCGAGGTACGTGCCCTTAGCGGGAACCGAACCTGAGTCTCTCTGTACCGCAGGCCGACGCTCCAACCGCTGAGCCAAACCGGCCAGGGCTAAAATTCCCCATTTGGAAGTACCTCGAAGCTAACAGAACAGCAGAGTGCTTAAAATCCCCAGCACTGCTGCTGCCACCTTGTAATAGTGGCTCTCCCTGGGGACAGGTCTGAATGGTAGAAATGACACAGGCCTTCAGCACTGGGGGCCACTAGTCCCAGGATAAACTAGTTGCAGGCCAAGAACAGAGTGTTTTGCTCTCCTGACCAATTCTGTCTCTGACTGAAGAGCTCATGGTACTATCAACCACACATGTCACGTTGAGGATGGACTGCAGCATGTGCAGATTTGCACAGTGCTGAAGAGGAGAGAAGGGTACATGGCAACACCATCAGAAGTGACAGATGGTAGCCAGAAATATGTGAAGAGACTGGTGGTAAAGACTGCTATTTAAGAGGCATGGGAGGGAAACAGGCAGTGATCTAAAAAAAGAAAAGCTATTTAATGAGATCCCAAGAATTGGCAAGAAAGAGCCAGGAACTGTTGCTAAGGAAAAAATAGACAAAGGCACAAGAACAATCTGACTACACGCTGGCACGGGGGCGGCTGGGCTGTGCGCAGGGCCAGCTCCCAGGGCCCTACTCAGCAATTGGGATGGATGACAAAGTGGCAGTTTCATGGCCCTTGTCATCCTCCTATTAGAAGTCTTCCTCCTTTGGGTCTCACTCTGCAACAGATTAGAATTCCATCTGCACCTTGGGCACACCTCCTGTCCTGTGGTCGCCACGGAGGAGCTTGGTGGAGGCTATGAGAAGGCAGGCTCCAGATTCCAGCAGATTCCACACCTCTCCCAGACTGGGCTGTTGAACCATATCAGGACTCGCTTCTTTCTTCCTTTCTTTCTTTCCTCTGGTGTTTTGGGTGAGGCGTCTGAATAAAGATTGAGGCAGTTCAGTTCTAGCATATGAGGAAATTGAATGTGACAGAATCCACAATTCAAAGTGACACCAATCGCACAAAGCACACTGCCCACACACACCAGGCTCACCCAGCAGGCAGGCCCTCTACATGTGATCACCCTAGTGGTGCATCTATGGAAGAAAAGATACTATCCACAGACCATGACCTTGGGGTCAAGGTAACAGGGTATGGCACACCTACACTTTAGTGCCTTAAGAAAAATCAACAAAGTTCTTCAAGGAGTCTGAGCCCCAAGGCTCTCATTTGCTGACTGAGGCACCAAACGTGTACACAGATGCTACAGACAGCTGGCCAGACAGACAGACTGTGGGAAGTGGGGCCCAGAGCATCACAGCAGAGAAAGTCAATAGAGTGAGCAGTTTCAAGGCAGGAGTGTAAAGATTCTCTACATAGAAGGCATTGGGAAACTTGGACTTTCTTATTAGGTATGAAGATCACTGCTGATCAATTAAGTGTCAAATCCGTTGTGACAGTCCAACCACTGCTGACCTAAGAAACCAAGGGATGTTTGGGTAACTCAAGGAGATGCTAAAATGGCTTCTGCCACTAAAAGGAAACTGCCAGTGGCAGGTGCATGCCCGGATGCTGGCTCACAGGGAGCGAGGAGGCAGGCCGATGTTCTTCTCACAGCACTGGCGCAAGGGCACAGAGTAGTCTTTATAAGAACATGCGCAAGTCCTGGCCGATTTGGCTCAGCAGTTAGAGCATCAGCCTGTGGTCCAGAGAGACCCGGGTTCAGTTCCCGCTAAGGGCACGTACCTCGGTTGCAGTTTGTCCCCGGCCCTGGATGGGTTGTTCTGGTGGCAACCACTCGATGTGTCCCTTTCACGTCGATGTTTCTCTCTCTCTCTCTCTCTCTCTCTCCCCCCCTCTCCCCCTCCCTCTCCATTTCCCTCTCCCTCCTTCCCACTTTGTCTGGACAAAAATGGAAAAATGTCCTCAGGTGAGGATAAAAAATAAAAAAGAACATGTGGAAATATTCAAATCCCACTCCAAATGAAAAAATCCTCCCATTAACTCAGCTAACACTGTCTGGACCTACTAATGAAAGCCTCTAATATGCACAAGTTGTAGGAAAGGTAACCAAGTACTTCATTAGAGACAAGAAAACAAGCATTCGGGTTTCCCTTGAAAACAATCCTATGTGATACACCACATAAACAAAATGAAAGATGAAAATCATACAGTCATATCAATAGATGCTGAAAAAGCACTTGACACAATCCAGCACCCATTTCTGATAAAAATGCTCAGCAAAGTGGGAATAGAGGGATCATATCTCAAAAAAATAAAGGCCATATATGAAAAATCTACAGCCAACACCATACTCAATGGACAAAAACTAAAAGCATTTCCCTTAAGAACAGGAACAAGACAAGGATGTCTGCTTTTGCTTCTCTTATTTAAAATAGTACTGGAAGTCTTAGCCACAGCAATTAGACATGAAAAAAAAAATGAAAGGCATCCAAATTAGAAAGGAGGAAGTGAAACTGTCTTTATTCGCAGATGACAAGATATTGTACATAGAAAATCCTAAAGACTCTATTAAAAAAACTACTAGATTTAATAAATGAATTTTACAAAGTAGCAGGATACAAAATCAACATCCAGAAATTAATGGCATTCTTATACACCAATAATGAACACTCAGAAAGAGAAACCAAAAAAAAAATCCCATTTACCATTGCAACAAAATAATTACGATACCTAGGAATAAACTTAACCAAGGAAGTAAAAGACCTGTTCTCAGAAAACTGCAGGACATTGAAAAAACAAATACAGGAAGAAATAAAAAAAGTAGAAGTATATACCATGTTTGTAGATTGGAAGAATCAACATCATTAAAATGTCCATACTACCCAAAGCAATTTATAGATTCAATGCAATCCTTATTAAATTACCAATGGCATATTTCACAGATCTAGAGCAAATACTCCAAAAGTTTATATGGAACCAAAAAAGATCCTGAATATCCACAGAAATCTTGAAAAAGAACAAAGTTGGAAGGATCACAATACCAGATATCAGGTTATACTACAAAGCCTTATAATCAAAACAACCCGGTACTGGCAGAAGAACAGGCATATAGATCAATGGAACAGAACAGAGAACCCAGAAATTGATCCAAAACATTATGCTCAATTAATATTCTACAAAGGTGGCAAGAGTATAAAATGGAGAAAAGACAGTCTCTTCAATAAATGGTGTTGGGAAAATTGGACAGTTACATGCAAAAAAATGAAACCATAGATAGCACCAACTTATAGCACACACAAGAATAAACTCAAAATGATAAAAGATTTAAATATAAGTCATGAAACCATATAAAAATCCTAGAAGAAAATGTAGGCAGCAAAATTTGAGACATCACATGTAGCAGAATTTTCACTGATATATCGCCTAGGGCAAGAGAAACAAAGGCAAAAATTAATAAATACATCAAACTGAAAAGCTTCTGCATGGCAAAAGAAACTAGCATCAAAATGAAAAGGGAACCCATTCTCTGGGAGAATATATTTGCTAGTGATACATCAGATAAGGGGTTAATATCCAAAATGTATAAAGTACTCATACAGCTCAACAAAAGGAAGACAAACAATCCAGTTAAAAAGTGGGCAGCTAAGCTGGTGTGGCTCAGTGGATTGAGCATTATCCCATAGACTGAGAGGTCCTGGTTCAATTTCCAGTCAGGGCACAGGCCCGGTTGTGGGCTCGATCCCCAGTAGGGGATGTGCAGGAGGCAGCCAATCAATGTTTTTCTCTCACATCAATGCTTCTATTTTTCTCTACCTTCTTCTCTCTCTAAAAAATCGATAATTTTAAAAAAAACAGTTGGCACAAGACCTAAATAGACACTTCTCCAAACAGGACATAACAAATGACCAAGAGACATATGAAAAAATGTTCAACATCACCAATCAGCAGAGAGATGCAAATTACGACTATGAGGTATAACCTCACACCTGCCAAAATAGCTGCCATCAACACATCAAACAAGTGCTGGCGAGGATGTGGAGAAAAAGGGACTCCAGCACACTGCTGGATGGAATGCAGACTGGTGCAGCCACTATGGAAAACAACATGGTGTTGTCTCAAAAAATTAAAAATGGAACTGCCATTTGACCCAGTGATCTCACTTCTAGGAATATATCATAAGAAGCCTGAAACACCAATCAGAAAGAATATATGTACCCCTATGAATATGTACCCCTATGCTCATAGCAGCACTATTTACAATAGCTAAGATCTGGAAACAGCCCAAGTGTCCATCAATACATGAGTGGATAAAAAAGCTGTGGTACATATACACAATGGAGTGTTATGCAGCTATATGAAAGAAAGATCTCTTACCCTTTGAGATGACATGGAGGGATTTGGAGAGTATTATGCTAAGTGAAATAAGCCAGTCAGAGAAAGACAAGTACCATATGATCTCACTTGTTGATGGAATATACTGATCCAAATAGGCTGACGATCAAAACAAAAGTAGGAGGCGGGGTGGGAGCAGGGAGGAGGGAGTTAATGGAGTTAAAAGGGGGAACATCTGTAATACTTTCAACAATAAAGATAAAAATCAATGGAAAACTATTCTCATGTGAGGATTAACAACTAAATAAACAAATAATAAAATGAATCCTGCCCTGAAACAGGGATATGAATTAGGAAGAGGATGAACCTAGTGATTTTTTTCTCACTGCAGAAGATACTAAGGAGTACAGGGCTGGAGACGCATGCAGCTCCAGCTCGTAAACAACTTCCACCACCGCACACCATGCATGTAGTTAGCAAGTTGTTGAATTCTCTACCAGGTTAAAGGATGGTGTAGTTACCACTGTTCATCACAAGGTGTAGATGCAGACTCGTTAGCTCACAGCGCTTTCAGAATGTTCAATTATCCACTCAATAGCAGCCCACCCCTGGAGCAACACAGAAGGATTTCAACATGGTGTAAGAAATCGGCCTCTCGCTGCAGACAGCAGCTACAAGCCTGTAATTTAAATGGCAGTTGTACAGGTACAACAGTAACCATTTGTGTGCAGTCTTTCACTGTAAGCAGGCAGTTTCTCAGGTTCAAAATTAGGTGGTAATTATTCTGCCTAAAATTCTTGCATCAGGTTGGGCTACACTGACACCGGCACCGCTCTTCCACCTTGTCACCTCCTGCTTTGCAAGACTAGGGGAAACAGCTGCCACCCTCATAGCCTCCATGCGCTGTCCCTAAGCTCAGGATGACCTGCCTCTCCACCTCCATCTCCTGTGCCCACCCTCGGGCTACCAGCTCTCCCACACATCTCCCCAACTGATGAAGGATGCTGTCAAATCATAACAATAGCTAGAGGGAGGGCTGATTCTATACCAGGCCTTCAACACAAAAACGCCTAAGGTAAGTGAATAAAAGAATTTGATTTGGCTGCACCGAGTTTACCCTGATTTTTCTCATACAGGGTCTGAAGTGGCTTTGGCCTCACCTCGTAATCACTCCCTCCTATGTTTTTTCACAAACATTAGGGTGCCTGTCCCAAGCCAGACCCCGGACATGAAGGTTGGTAAGGCCACGTCCCCTCCCTGGAGGGCTCACCACAGACACAGCATACAGCCTCGGCACTGTGCTCCCATCCCTGACCTGAGCTAAGCTACTGCACACACCTCCCAATCTGGAGTTTTCTAAATAATGGGCAGATTGGCTCTTCTAGACTAAATGCCAGCCATAGTGGGTTTCCACTAACAGGTGACTTAATTGTGGTAGGAAGGGATGTATAGCTCAGGCAGCATCTAAGTGATCTCAAAAATGAAGACTCACTTCTGACTGAAAAAAAAGGGAGACATGGGAGAAGTCAGGGTGGGAGCAAAGGGAGGACAGCCTGGGAAGATGTGAGCCTATGAGGTACGCTAAGGTGAGAAGCCAAGGTCATGCTCTGGCAAGTGACATTACCTTGAACTTGCACCCATCCAACCTCTCTCATCAACTCTGCTGGAGAGGAAGGCAACATGGACTCTGTGAGTAGTTTCTGCCTCACTAAAGCTGAGCTCTCTACCCAAGGACCCTGGGGAGGATGGCCTTTCTGGTGAATCCTTTCTCATCTCACCTTCACCAAGCTCACTCCCCCATCCTGCCAGAGAATGGCAGCTGACTCCAGGGAACCTTTGCAAATGGAGAGGTTTGGCCAAAGCTACATAATGCCTATTAAATATGAAACCACTAAAAATCCTAAATATCCTGCCTGACAATGTAAACACACATCTTTTTGATGTGTGGGGTTTTTTTTGGTTAACTGGGCCTATCATTTCGGCTCTTTGCCTCTGCTGGGTTTACCCTGCGCTTTTCCCTCAGATGGGCACGGCTCCCTTGTCCTCGGTCTTGAATGTAAATATGAAACAATGTGACATTATAAGCTCAGCTAGACAGAGGGCCCAACACTCATGGATTAATGGGACCTCACATTTCACTCGCTTATTCTGGCACTTAGCAGCCAGAGCACACACAGGGCCCAGACTGAGACCCTTACCTTCTTTGCATTGGATGATATTGTGTTGGCCATTAAACTTTCCAGATAGCTGCCAAGGCTGATCCCCTTCACAGTTATGGTGGCTTCTTGTATGAGCACCGTCCTAAAAAGAACAAGAAGCAAAAGGCTGAGCAGCCCTAAGAGAGGGGAGGCTCAACCCCACCCTGACCTTGGAGTTCAACGTGTCAATGCCAGGGCGAGACCACGTACATTTCAGGGTTCTCCGGATGGGGTGTGTACACCAACCTCTCATTCACCGACACAAGGTTTGTGAGTGTGATCTTAAAAAAAGGAACAATGGCTTTAGGTTCTACTTCTCGCATTTTTTCCCACACCATCTGCCCATACTCTTCCACCCCCAAAACAGCACTTACTGCAGAACAGAAGAAACATTCAGGCCCAGAAAGCACCACCATATTAAGTCCCAGGGAAATGGTGTCCTGGCTGCTGCTCCTGGCAACTGTCACCTGCCTCTCTCCACATCCTACCTAATCCTGAGCTGGACCTGGCTTCAAGGGGCAGGTATCCACCACTTTTTGAAAGTTCGCATATGCTACTTTGCTTTTAGGAAAGACCTGTTTTTGCTAACTGAAAGAAATCTGAAGATCTTTGATTTTATGAAAAAAGGTGAAAAAGCAAAAACAGTGTTCCGCATTTGTTCTGCAGCAAGTGGTTACAGAGGCAGCGCACACACCCTCGTGAGAGTGGCCCCACCAAGTCCTTTCCCAGGAGTCACACTTGGCATCTCAGCTTGGAGCTGCGGCCTGTCTGTGAACGTCTGTGCTTTATTTCCCTTTATTTTGTGCTTCATTACCAAGATGTGTCCTAATGAAACTGCTTCTTCATTTTATAGCATTTTGGCTTACCTAAGGTTTCATAGGAATGCTCTACTTTTGGACAAGGGGGGAACCTGTATTTTTAAACTTCCAAACCCTTAGCAAAAAAGGACAAAGTATTCCTGGGTTAGCATGCAGGTAAACAAGCAGAAAACTTTGCACCCACCAGTGGCAGACTCTGGCTTTTGGGCACTGTGCCCTGGGGTTTCACAGGGCAGAGCCCTGAATCTACACAGACCACAAGAGCAAGTGGTATAGATATCGTCTCCTCCTGTGCTGTTTCCTGTAAACCAACTAGACCCTCATGTACATTTTTAATATTTTCTAGTAAAACGTATTTAAAAACTGGAGCTCTAGAACTGCACTGTCACACAGAATTTCTGCAATATTAGAAATGTCCTATATCTGTTCTGTTCATTGTCAAAGTAACTAAACATGTGTGGCTAATAAACACAATATATGGCTAGTGTGCAGAGGAACTAAATTTTTAATTTTACTTAATCCTATTTAATTGAAATGGAAATAGCCACATGTGGCTGCCACATTGGCCAATGGAATCTTATCTTTGTTTAACCCAATTTACTCTCTTAGCAAAGAGTTAATTCCCAATATAAGACCTTTTCTTTTTTTAAAGTTTAAGTGGTCAAAAGCACTATAATCTTCTAGCAATAATAAACTTAAAACACTTATTTTTTGCTCATGTAATAATCTTACACTAACCTCCCCCACCTGGCTTCACTGTTTCAGCAAAGTGGTTAGTTGGGAAATCTTTCCTCCTGTTGAATGCAGAGTAATCAAAAGAGGCTCATTAGTTAGTTATTACGGTGTATAGAAATAACAACATTAACAATTAAACTCTGATTAGGAATTATCATTTTATGTGCAATATTTTTGTGCCTGGCACAGTATTTTATAAACCTTATTTCCCTTCATTAATCGACATAACAATAGTAACAATACTTTTTTTTTAGACAGAGGGTTAATAAGAAACATATGCGGCCATCCAACCATTCAGTGGTAATTTCAGGATATAGGTTTATAACTATCCTACTCCCTACACTATTTCCTTCCCACCAGACCTCACTGTAGCATGAAGAATCCTTCTTCACTGAAAATTAAACATTCCTAAAGGACAGAGTGGAATTTTCCCAATGGAAGAGAGAAAACAGAATATGTAAATTGTCAGGAATGGCTAATGGGGGGACACCTGTGAGGCTCCCTGTGACTTTACACAGAAGAGCTGCCTGGGACAAGGGAAAGGGGCCATTTGTAAAGGTCACAAACGATATTCCAATAACTGTAAGTAGTTCAGAACCTAATCTTCCAGCACACAGAGACACAATCCACACAGTGAGGTTTTATAAAGTAAACCGTGTTCCTAGCCCATGAATTCACCACAACATGTTTTGTTTGTTTGTTTGTTTTTTTAATCCTCACCCGAGGACATTTTTCGATATTTTGTTCAGATAGAGTGAGAGTGAGAGAGAGAGAGAGAGAGAGAGAAACATCGACGTGAAAGGGACACATCGAGTGGCCGCCACCCACACGATCCAACCAGGGCTGGGGACAAACTGCAACCAAGGCACATGCCCTTAGCGGGAACCGAACCCAGGTCTCTCCGGACCGCAGGCCGACGCTCTAACCGCTGAGCCAAACCAGCCAGGGCCCAACATGTCTTTTGAACGTTCATTAGGTCAATATAAATTTTCTTAATTGAGAGAACTGAGAGGGAGTGCAGGAGAAAGTGGCTTTTAAAATTCCTGCTAAGCCCTGGCCGGTTTGGCTCAGCAGTTGGAGCGTCAGCCTGAAGTCCAGAGAGAGACAGGTTCGGTTCCCCGCTGAGGTCATGTAGTACTTTGGTTGCAGTTTGTCCCCGGCCCTGTTTGGTTTGTGCGAGTGGCAGCCACTCGATGTGTCCCTTTCACGTTGATGTTTCTCTCTCTCTCTTCCTCTGTCTCCCTCCCGCTCTGTCTGAATAAAGAATGGAGAGATGTCCTCGGGTGAGGATAAAAAAATAAAATAAAATAAATGAAATGAAATTCCTGCTAAATCCGCCCTGGCCGGTTTTGTTCAGTGGTTAGCGCATCGGCCCTCGGACTGCAGGATCATGGGTTGATTCCTGGTCAAGGGCACGTACCTCAGTGGCAGGTTCTATCCCCAGCCCTGGTGAGGGTTGTGCAGGAGACAATCGATGTGTCTCTCTCACATCAATGTTTCTCTCTTTCTCTTTCTCTCATTCTCTAGCTCTCTCTCTTGCTTTCTCTCTCTCTCTCTTCTCTCTCTCTCTCTCCCCCTTCCACTCTATGTAAAAATCAATGGAAAAATACCATCAGGTGAGGATTAACAAAAATAAGTAAATAAATAAATAAAAATAAACAATCATGTAGACCAAAGGTAGGCTGGAAATAAAATTAAATGAAGCTATTACACACCATCACCAAGACCTACCAAGCACCTTTCTTTCTCATCTTAGGCCATTGCTTACATTGGTGGAACAAAGTTCCATTTTCTTTTCCATTGGATCCACAACAGAATGTTCTTTGATGTATGTCAAAGTCCTACTGGTTCCCAAAATCTAAAAAACAAAGCAAAATTAGCATAATGATGTGTTAAAATTTCCTTTTGTAGCATCAAACACAAAATACCATTTCATTTACTTATGTGCTTATCTACATGGCTAGGGTGCAATGGTGAACAGCCCTGTGCAGCAGCTTTGGGTGTCTGTTCTAGGAGGTGGGACGGGCATTGAACAAATGAATACATTCGAGTAGAGTTGAGTGTATGACAGTAATAAATGCTTCGACAAAAAAGAAAGGGGGGGCAGGCATGCAGAGAAGGCCCTCTGGCAGTGGCAGAGCCAGGGAGGGTGCCATGCAGAGTTCTGGGGTTGGCAGGAAGGTCAACCCTGTTAGGAGATGGTGGGTGGCCAGCAGACTGTGAGCCAAGGAGAGGCTGGAACAGACCCATCCCTCATGGTCCTCAGAGGAAACCACCCTGCTGGCACCTTGCTCTTAGACTTCCAGCTTCCAAAATGGAGAGAGCAAATGTTTATGGTTTAATCCCTCCAATCTGTGGTGTTTTATTACAGCATCCCGAGCAACAGATGCAACACTGTGGCGTGATGCAGGAGAGGGTTCTGTGCGGTGGCAGAGGCTGAGGTGGGGGAGCCATGCCATGTGTCAGGACCCATGGAAATAAACAGTTTAATAAAGTTTACAGAGGAACACATCATCTCTTGGGCTTCCCAGAAATCCCGAGTGGATGCTCTAAGGCAGTGATTCTCAACCTTCCTAGTGCCGCAACCCTTTAATACAGCTCCTCATGTGGTGGTGACCCCCCAACCATAAAATTATTTTTGTTGCTACTTCATAGCTGTAATTTTGCTACTGTTATGTCTTAGGCGACCCCTGTGAAAGGGTCATTGACCCCCAAAGGGGTCGCGACTCACAGGTTGAGAATCGCTGCCGGGGAAGGTGGTCATTTCTTGCAGATGGGTGTAGCCAGGGAAAAGCAGGTGTAGCTAGGATGATGCAGGTGCTGTGGGAGCAAAGTAGGCACCAGCTGGGTGGTGCAAGTGTGTGGGGCAGGGCAGTACCAGCGGGGCAAGCAGCTGTGGGCTCACCGCTCTCACGAGGCCAGGCAGCCCCCACTCAGTGCTGAGGAGGCGGTGGCTGTGAAGCCGGCCACAGCAGTCCACACTGCGCTCCAGCACGTCGACTCCCACGACACAGGGGTTCATCGGATTTGGGTACTTTCTCATAGCAGCCTTGATGACTGTGTCCCATGGGTGGCTGGAGGGAAAATACAATCACCCAGCATAAGCAAGCAATCTCTATGGTTTGTAATGTGTGCCAGAGTGGCACTAGGAGCCAGAGATGCTATGTAACAGAGAGTGAAATGAAAAATGTTTTTTCTTTTTTCTTTTTATCCTCACCCGAGGACATTTTTCCATTTTTTGTTCAGATAGAATGGGAGGGAGAGAGAGAGAGAAACATTGACGTGAAAGGGACACATTGAGTGGCTGCCACCCGCACAACCCAACCAGGGCCGGGGACAAACTGCAACCGAGGTACGCGCCCTTAGCGGGTACCGAACCCGGGTCTCTCTGAACCACAGGCCAACACTCTAACCGCTGAGCCAAACCAGCCAGGGAGAAAAATGTTTTTCCTTTCAGTTTTAATTAAAGGTATATTCAAACAAATATATATGAGGAGTCTGGCTCCAGACCCATATCCTGAATCTTGCAATCCTTCTGAGCCAACCATGGGCAATCAAGACTTTGCCACCAGACCTCGCCAGCGGCCTGGGGCACAAACAAGAACTTGGGATCCTGGCAGCTGGATGCCCTGGGTCTGCAGTCAGGAGCCCCTCTGGAAGGCTTCCTCATCCCTGGGGGCCCTTGGCTAAAGCACTTTCCTTCCCTCTGGCTGTCCCTTCTCCTGTCCCAGCACTTCCTCCTTCCTCTTCCACCCTCCCTCCAATCCATAAAGAAGAAAATGCTTTAGTCTGGAGTTTCTGGGCAGTGAGACAATTACCCTGCCTGTCACCTGCCTTCCCCCTGCTATTCCATCAGGAAGATAAAACACTATGGGGTTGGCATTGTTTCTGACTTGCCTGAGCTGTGGCAGTGAATAAAGGCTTGGCTGTGACTTTTACTTGGGCTTCTTGTCCTAAGTGACCACCTCAACGCCTGGTAGCTTGACACCCTTATAACAGAAAAAAACACTTGCCTTAGGCATATCTAGAACAGGCTATTGCCCCCCCGCTACTGATGGGCTATGAAGAAGCAACTACTTTGTTTCAACTTCTAAGTGGTATATAACTGAAGAGACCACATATTTTTTCTGGTTATAAAAATAAGCATTCAAAGTCTGAAAAATAAAAATAAAAAGAAATAAAATCACCCAGAATTTTACTTATCCAAAGATAACCACAGTCTGAGTGGGAGACTCTGAGGGTGTTCCAGTGCTGGCCCAGAGGTTTCTCCTGCAGGGTGCCACCACGCCTTCTCTGGCCGAGCCCTTGAAGTGAGGGGATGGATACTTGTGTCCCTGTTTTGTTTCCTGACATCAGAGGTCCCAAGCCAGGTACTGCGGCCCCACTGCTTTCTGTGCTTGTTTAGGCTCAAAACCTCAGACACAAGTCTGGTGGGAAGCAAGTCAGGTGCCATCATGGTTCATTCGGGGTGGACCTTCCTCCACAGCACTTTATGTCCTAATTCTTCCTTCCTTCAGGATGTGTGTGCTCCCAGGAAGCATCTGAGCCCCCCTGCAAAGGCAGGTATGTCTCCATGACACCATTATTTTTCCAGATATACCCAAACATGTTTGAACAGCATGAGCAGACACAGCCCAGACTCAAAAATAGATCTATGCACACACGCACACATGCACATACACACACAAATATACTTTTAAAAAGTTAAAGTGGGATCATGTTCAATATATGGACTTATCATCTGCTTTTATTAATTTAACTGACAAACAATTTTCTACATCAGAAAGCTATTTTCAGAAATAGATTTTAAATAGCTGCACAATAGGTCATCCTGTAGATATTTCTATTTATTCACCAATGGTAAGTCATTTAGCTTGCTTCCAATTTTACACTGTAAAATAAAGACAGTATTGAACATTTGTCTACAGTAGTCTTTCAACATACCTAATTTTTCCTTATGATAAATTCCTAGAAATGCAATTACTAAACCAAGTATTAAAGATTATGAACATATTGAAGGTTTTTATTGCATTTTAAAAAAAATATTTTGCTTTATTGATTTGAGAGAGAGAGGAAGATAGAGGGAGAGAGAGGGAGAAACCTCGATGAAAGAGAACATCGACTGGCTGCCTCCTGCATGTCTCCCAGTGGGGGATCAGCCTGCAACCTGGGCATGTACTCTGACAGAGAATCAAACCCGTGACCTCTTGGTGCATGGGTCGATGCTCAACCCCTGAGCCACACCAGCCGGGCTTTGTTCCATATTTGATGTTCTTTTAGAATAGTATAATTTGTTGCCCTGGCCAGTTTGGCTTAGCAGTTAGAGCGTTGACCCGGGGACCAGAGAGGCCCAGGTTCGGTTCCCGCTAAGGGCATGTACCTTGGTTGTAGTTTGTCCCCAGCCCTGGTTGGGGTCGTGTGGGTGGCAACCACTCGATGTGTCTCTCTCACATCAATGTTTCTCTCTCTTCCTCTTTCTCTCCCTCCCACTCTATATCTCAATATAAAATGCAAAAATGTCCTCAGGTGAGGATTAAAATAAATAAAATAGTGTAATTTGTTGACCATTAATTGACTTTATCCTCATAAAACTCTTCTCCCAGGTAAAAAAGTTAGCAGTAGTTCCCAGAATAGATAAAGGTCTCCCAACTCCTAACCCTGTGTTCTTTTTTTAAAATTATTTTAAAAATTGATTTTAGAGAGAGGAAGGGAGAGAAGGAGAGTGAGAGAGAGAGACAGAGAGAGAGAGAGAGAGAGATACATTGATCAACTGCCTCCCACATATACCCCAACCAGGGATCGAACCCACATCCTAGGTATGTGCTCTGACTGGGAATCGAACCCACCACCTTCTGATGTACAGGACAATGCTTCAACCAACTAAACCACAGTGGCCGGGGCTCTACCCTATTTTCTTTCCATTACATTCCATGGCCTCTAAATTGTCAGAGCCTGATCTAGAATCACCTCTCTTCAACAAAGAAGTACTTTTACAAACCATGTAATTATGGCAGTAAGTTACTGTGTCACTGGCTTTAACATAAAGAGATGAAGAAGCAGAGATCTGGCTGGTCCTGATGGTTCTATAGGATAGAGAGTGAGCCCTTTCTTCTCTGAGGAAGAACTGTCAGGTACATGGTCAGCCCAAGATCTTGGGAAGGAAGGAGAATCTAGAGATTCATAAAAGCAGAAAAAGTCCTGGTTACACAGGCAGGCCTTCTCAATACAATCATCTGTGAGACTTGAAAGTCAGTTCCAAAGGGTTGTTCTCATAAAAACCATTACTTTAGCCCTGGCCAGGTGGCTCAGTTGGTTGGAGCATCATATACCAAAAGGTTTTGGGTTCGACCCCCCCATCAGGTGCATATGGGAGGCAACCAATAGATATTTCTCTCTCACATCTTTCTCCTCTCTCTCTCACCCCTTCCTCTCTCTAAAAAATCAATAACACATATCCTTAGGTGAGGATTTAAAAAAAAAAAGATTACTTTAAGCAGAATGAGCTATGCCTTCTACAATTAAAACTGTCTGACAGTAAAGGAAATATGTGTATTCAGCATATCTCACACATTAATGTTTCTTTTATATAGAAACATTGCATCTTTTAGCTAATGGTTTAAACTAAATACAACCTGCTTAAAATACTCACATAATAAATAATTCCACAATTTATAGCAGGATAACCACACAAGTTAATATAGACATTGACAGCCCAGCCAGTGTGGCTCACTGGCTGAGCGTCGTCCAATGGACCAAGAGGTCACGGGTTTGATTCCCGGTCAGGGCACATGTCTGGGTTGCAGGCTCGATCCCCAGTGGGGGACATGCAGGAGGCAACTGATCGATGTTTCTCTCTCATATCGATGTTTCTCTATTTCTCTCCCTTTCTCTCTCTAAAAAAAATCAATAAAAATATGAAAGAAATATATAGATATTGATAAAACAATAGAGAAAAAAGTAAACATAATAATATTTTCCTCACTTGAGGATATTTTTCCATTGATTTTAGATAGAGTGGAAGAGAGGAAGGGAGGGAGAGAGGGAAAGGGAGATGGGGAGAGAGAGAGACAGAGAGACAGAGAGACAGAGACAGACATCGATATGAGAAAAACATGTTGATTGGTTGCCTCCCATATGACCCAGACCAGGGTCAGGGATCAAACCTGCAACCCAGGCATGTACTCTTGACTGGGAATTGAACCTGAGACCCTTTGGTCTTCAGGCAAATAATCTAACTGCTGAGCCAAATTGGCCAGGGCCTAATGACATTTTTTAAAATAAAATTTAAGTACAGCAAGTCAGTATCACACACTTCTTGATTAAAGAAAAAAGCTCAACACTCATTCAACTGGCAAAACCCCAAAATTCTGGCAACATCAAGTGTTGGAGAGAATGTGGGAAAAGAGAAGACAAGAACTGCTGGTGGACAGAAGTTGGCACAACTCCTGAGAGTGCAGTTTACCTAGAGGTGGCAAGAAGGCATGACCAGCCTCTCTTCTCAGTGTTTTCAGCTGCCTGGGTTAAGAACACAAGGAACTGCTAAAGTTCATCCTCAAGACGAATGACCTGTGGCACGGCTCACAGTGGCCATGGTAGAGTGGGAACCCATCCACAGGGCCGGGGGCCTCTGCACCCCACTGCAGGGCAGCTATAAAGAGCACAGTGCTGATGCCAGGAAGGTAGAAGGACTCAGCTACTACCCACACTGGGAAGTAAAAAGGAATAACCAAGATCTCTCTCTATGCACAGTGAGGGAGTCAGAAACATGAAGTGGGATGAAATTACAGGATGTCTGGGGTTTGCCTAAAATAAATTGGAGGAAGGAGCAATGGGCAGGGGCACAAAACACCAGACTGGCTGTCAGAGGGAGACTGTTAACCTGGAAGATGATAGTGGGCACTCATTATTCTAGTCTCCACTTTTGCTTACTTTTTTTTTTAAATCCTCACCCGAGGACATTTTCCCATTTTTTGTTCAGATAGAGTGGGAGTGAGAGAGGGAGAGAAAGAGAGAGAGAAACATCGACGTGAAAGGGACACATCGAGTGGCTGCCACCCACACGACCCAACCAAGCCTGGGGACAAACTGCAACCGAAGTACATGCCCTTAGTGGGAACCAAACCTGGGTCTCTCTGGACCGCAGGTCAACGCTCTAACCACTGAGCAAAACTGGCCAGGACTACTTTTGCATACTTTTGAAATTTCCGTAATAGCAAATTAAAAAATAAAAATAAAAAAAAAGGGCAGCCAGCCACAAACAAGGCAAAGTACTCCTACACCCTACTCACAGTGACTCTAGGCCCAGATCTGTGGTTCTGAGTGTGGTCCACAACACCCAGAGGCTCCCACGCCCTTTCAGGAGGTCTGCAAGGTCAAAACTGTTTCACAATGCTAGTAAAACATGATTTGTCTTTTTCACCCTATTGACATTTACACTTCAAAAGCAGCAACAGGTAAAACTACTGGCCTCTCCCCACAAATTAAGGCCAGGACCCGAAACCACATTCATGCTGTGCCTTCAAGAAAACCATGCCAGTGTTTCTTAAGACTATCCAGGGTGAAACAGTAAAATTACTTGTTTGATTACATCTAGACCCCTAAGTATTTTTCTTTTAATATCCTGACCACATGATAGCTAAGGCCCAAGCTGGGATTAGATACCCTACTATGCTCAGCCCTAAACTTAAACAACTTTATATAACAAAACTATTCACCAGAGTACCACTAGCTACAGCCTAAAACTCAAAGGACTTGACAGTGCTTTATATTCCTCTAGAGGAGCCTGTTCTATAATCAATATACCCCAATAAACTTCACCAACCCTTGCCAGTTCAGCTTATACAACATCTTCAGCAAACACTGTAAAGGATTATACTAAGTACAAAAATATAAGACATAAAAACGTTAGATCATGGGAAGAATGCCTGGAGCACGTCTGCTGTGCAGAGAGATCTACAAAGGCTGGGGAAGTGCTGGGCAGCTGTGGGTGGCGAGCCCAGCTGGAGACTTCTTTCCATGCCTATCACTTCTACTGAAACAGCTCAGGGACAAACTTTGGTTATTCAGTCTGGGGTATCCAGCAGACATTTTCTCAAAAATTAATGAAATGAGCCCATCATTTCAAGGAAAACAACTCATAGTATTTGTTGCCAAAGATAAAACTTGAATTTCAAGTGAAAATTGAAATTTTCAAAAAACTTGTATCCACTCCCATGACCTGATGACTGCCCCATATAGCAACTGGGCACACCCTTATATTTCAAATGACCAGTGCAAGATGCCACAAAATAATACACTGGTGAGAAACTCATTAAAAACATACGCTAAGCCAATTACATCTTTCATTATGGTTTCAGATTTTACACTTGTTTTGTTGTAGTAACAAAAGATAGCCACAAGGGATTCCAAAATGGTAGCACATTAAATCAAAGCCACACTGACCTTCTCTCAGGACCAAACTGGAATTACAGTGATACCTCGGTTCTCGAACATAATTCATTCCAGGAGGACGGTCGAGAACCGAATTGTTCGAGAACCGA